GGCCTATAGAAAAAAATCACTCACATTTTTAACAGTATGAGAAGCCCTGGGTTTCTACATTGGCTTTTTTTTTATTGCCACAATAGCTTTCTTTCATTAGAAAATAATTACGCTTTATGCAGCTATGGATGGGTATCACTAACTGACATGAAAGTGTGTTGATTCTGACATTCAAAAACTTTGATCAGCATGCAGCCTTATTGACAGGCTACCAAGACTGACAGATTTGAGCATACTAGAAGTACCAAATGGCTGTGTTATCAGGACTATCAGACAACATCATAACAGGTGATGTTATAGTAAATAGCAGTCCAAGCTGCTACTTTTACAGTTTGATTTTGTTGGTTTGGGTGTGCACTCTGCCCCCTAGTGGACTGGGCAGGGTAAGAAGGAGCGAGCTATCCTCAATGGAAATACAGATAATGCGAGTCTATTAGCATGTTAGACATAGTCTGCTATGAAACATATTTTCTATCAGTTCTTTCTCTGAGTGCTGTATATATTTTAGTCAGATTGGAACAGAGTTAGCTCTTCACTTTCTGACTCAAAAAACACAGTAACATTGAATTTCCATATTCATGAAAAAGGACAGTAAAGAGAATTTCAGGGAGTACAGTGACATAAATGAAACAGGATGATGCTATAATAATGGTTCACTGTAGTTTGGTTGGTTGGTTGGTTGGTTTTCTTTTAGCCAAGAAAATTTGGTTAACTTTGAAGTTCTAATGAGTTGAAAATCATTGTAGTGTTTAGCCTTATCAGCTTACCTTCCTTTTTCCCCATATTTAGATCCTATCATGGATATCTACCATTGTTGGTGTCCCTTCAGAATAGCCTCCATACCAGGTTAAGAAAGATGAAATTAGAGCTTGGCATAACTCCCTATCTATCTATCTATCTATCTATCTATATCGCAATATTATCTCCCACATAACTCCCAATATATCTCTCCTTTATTCAAGAAAGTATTAAGGACTTCTTTATATTAAAAGACCCTGACTAGCCAAATCAGTGAAAGTTACAGGTGTAAGTCTTTGTCCAATAGGATAGGAAAGAGAAATATTTGAAAAGATTATAGCAAGAAAGTAAAAGGCTGTATCTATGTATGATCTACATACAAGAGCTAGTGAAAGTGAGCCAAAGTTAGCATGTGGATTACACCATTTGAATCATTAGGGTATTTTTGATCATGAGAATTTCCCTGTGCAGTTTAGCTGTACTCAAACTCTTCAGTATACTTGTCCCCAAGAAACTATTTTAGAATTTGAGCATTTATTTCTAAAAGCATGATTCAATGCTTATATAAATATCTATTATTAGTTTGAATGTACATATTTCATCATACCTACTTTCTCCCTAACACAGTAAATGCTGGGAGATCAGAGATTTAAAAATGGCTTTCTCCTTAGTCTAGGAACGTTCTTATCTGTGGGAAAGAAAGGGGGGGCCATCAAGATGGGGCATACAGATCCCTCAAGTATATACTGGGCATGCTGTGTCTTGGCTGTGAATGTTCACTATCTCTTTATTATCCTTCAGATTCTAGAAAGGAAACAAACTTCATCCTAAAGAATAATCAGTGATGCATTTAGTGTCATGTGTGAGAGATTTGTTGCAGCACTGTTTATTGTGCCAAAATGACTGAAATCATTCTACTCTATAACACTAGTAAAATGTTTAAATTGTGATGCTTTCATACAATGGAATATTACACCCCCCAAAAAATGCATGATTTTAATAAGAAAATACACATGGAACATTCTCAAAAATAAGTTTAAATGTACATTCTATATATATGTACATTTTAAAAGATTAGGAACTGTACAAGTATTGTAGAATTTTTGTATTTGTCTGTATATTCCATTTATATATAAGGGATATAGGTTATATAATCAGAAAAGTTTTAAATATAGATAGAACTTGCCAACCAGTTGAGTGGGACAAAATTGGCTCAGCAGTTTTAGCTAAACATCTATAAACAGAAAGCTGGTGTTCAGACAACATAGCAGACTAGATAAGTTAAACCACTCTCCCAATGAAGATAACTGAAATGCTGGATAGATACTGAAAACTACTTTTAAATGTGTTTTTGCAGTTTCTGTTAAGAAAATTGAGAAATTGTAGAAGTAAAACTCAAAGAGCGAGCCAGAGGGGCCAGCCAGATAGTTCAGTGGATTAAAGCCCCTGCTTAGGTAGACACATGAGCCAGGGGTTCAATCCCCAGCCTGCCATGCCAGTCCTCCCCTGGGGCACATTGCGACAGTAATTGAGACTGGGTATGGTGGCGCACACCTGTAATCCCAGCACTTAGGAGGCTGAAAACAGGAGAATCACTACAAGTCTGATCTGTGTAGTGAGACCCTATAGACGCTGTACTAAATAAATTTTTTAAAAAAGTAAAAGCCAAGTACTTTGTAAGGTAAGTAAGCTATAATTGTTAACATAGATAAATGTCAAAAATAATGAACTAAAGATAGAAAAGCAAGTCATAGAACAATGCAAAAGATTTTATTTATGTACTCAAAAACAGAATCAAATGATTGTTCAGCGTAAGATAAAGCAAATCATACAGTAAAGAATTTAAGGAAATCAATCCCTATTTTCAGGAAGAAAGAGTGTGAGAATTTGGGGGAGCACACATCTAAAGTAGTATTGTTCTTCTTTAACAGGACCTACATCTAGAATGTTTTATGAGAAAAACAGTGGTAAAGAAATGGGTTTAAACTCTGTAGATTCTGTAGGTAGGTCAGTTTCTTACTGTTCTGAAGGAGGAACATATTCTTCATATATATTGTGTAAATGTCTTAGTTTTGTATGTGCATATTCAGTATATAGATAAGTTTTGTACAGCAGCATGAGATCATAAAAATAACCATGTAAGATGAATTATCCAAAGCAATTTAATAATAGAGAAAATTGGGCTGGCCTGATAGCTCAGGGGACTAAAGCACCTGCTTAGCCAGCGTGCAGCGGCTAGGGTTCAATCCCCAGTGTGCCGTGCTGGCCCCACCCCGGGGCACGCTAAGCCAGTGATTGAGACTAGGCATGGTGGCACGCACTTGTAATCCCAGCTCTTGGGAGGATGTAAACAGGAGAATCCTTACAAGTCCAATCTACATAGTGAGACCCTGTACACCCTGTAGACACTGCCCTAAATTCATAAAAATGAAAAAATTATAAATATTCCCGATTTTTAAATTCTTGAAGTATTACAAACTGTCATTTAAAGATGTATGGAAATGAATAATCATACAATTGTTTTTAGTATGTCATATCTTAGTCTGTTCAGGCTATAAGAAAATACTTTAGGAAACTTATAAACGAGAACTTTAGTACTTGCTGTTCTGGAGGCTAGGAAGCCCAAGATCGGGCTACCAGTAGATTTGCTGTCAGGTAAGAGCTCTCTTTTTCTGCTCCAGAGGTTGTGCCTTCTTGTTGTTTCCTCACATGTTGGGACAGAAAAGCTGCCTTAGACCTTGTTGATAAGGGCACTAATCGTGTTCATAAGGGCTTTTAGCCTGATGACTATCACCTCACAAAAGCACCGTGTTTTCCTAGTCGCCTTGGGGTTAAGTTTTAATATGCCAATTTTCAGAGTTACACATATTCAGATTATGGCATGCTGTAGCTTCAAAACCTAAAAATTTGGGATTCTGGTAATGTTCAGCTATAGAAATTAAAAGTAATCTTAGAATTATGCAAAGTAATTATATACACATTTATTTTTGGGTTAGTATATTAAGTATTTCATCTTTCCAGTGCTTATTCCTTATTAAGGAATAAGGAAACTAGACATCTATACATAAAATGTTATCAGCCACTGAAAGATACAGAAAAACCCTTAATCCATATGCCTGTGACTATAATCACAACATACGATATTCTAGAAAAGGCAACTGAGAGACAAAAGATTCCTGGTTGGCAGGAAGAAATGAGTAGCAGGCAGAGTACAGATGCGTAGGACAGTGAAACTACTACAGTTGTGACTTCATGACACCCTACAATTGTCAACATACTGTTTTTTTGTTTTTTGGTTTTTTGTTTTTTTGTTTTTTGTTTTTTTTTTTTTTTGAGGAACTGGGGATTGAACTCAGGCCCTTGCTCTTGCCAGGGAGGCGCTTATTCCACTGAGCCCAGTACTGGTTCCCCAGCCCCCAATACTGGTTCATTAGTTGAAACAACTATACCATACTAGTGTAATATACTGAGATTACAAATCTTGTTTTATTTTTGAAATTGTAGAAACTTTTTCAAGGATTATCATTTTCATTTTCTGTAGCTCTGTAAATAAGCACAAAATTCATGTTGAAAATCTTTTTTCCTTGCTTAATGGAGTGGTATAAAACATTAATTTTATGTCTTGTGTGCATTTGGTTAAAGAATTCAGAGCAGAGGGCTGGCCAAATAGCTCAGTGGATTAAAGCGCCTGCAAGAAGGCGCAGGGGGTGGGGGTTCGATCCCCAGGCCTGCCGTGATGGTGAGTGCCTGTAATCCAGCACTTGGGAGGCTGTAAACAGAATCACTATGAATCTGATCTAGTAGTGAGACCCTGAACACCCTGTAAACCCTTCCCTAAAATACAGGGGAAAAAAAAAAAATTCAGAGCTAAGATTTTGTGTATCATTGCTATATGTCTTTCCAGATCTTGAAATTTTTTTTTTTCTTTTTTTTTTTTTGCGGAACTGGGGATTGAACTCAGGCCCTTGCGCTTGCCAGGGAAGAGCTTATTCCACTGAGCCATCTCCCCAGCCCCAGATCTTGAAATTTCTTATATTTGTCTTGATTCCTAAACTTTTTATGATATAAATGCTCTCTGCACTGATTTTAGTACAGCTATTCTGAGACCTCAATGAAGTCAGTGTCTCTTAGAATCCATGGTATCTTAGTCAGTGAAATACATCTAATAAAGTTTTAGAAGGACTATAATAATTACTGTAGGATCACTGTAACCTTTTAAATACCATTGTGAGATTGTTCTGATTCTCCTCACCCCTGCCCAGATGTTCTTTGTGTGGATATGTGTGCAGCCATCCTCCTTCTCTGAAGTCTCATATGTGGAAACATGCAAGTGACCGAAATTACAACTATGAACAAGTAAACAAGGCTATTAATGATGCAATCTCACAAAGTGGCAGGTATCTGATCCTACTCTTAAACTTCCCTGTATAGCTCTATATAAATTTAAGTTAGAATTAAATCTGCCAGCCCTACAGTATCACCCATTCAAGGTTTGGTGTGTTTTGTTTTGTTTTTGTTTTTTTAAGAGTTCTGGGGAAATCACCTGGCAAAACTCTGTTAAGCAGCAGTGAAGAAAGAGCTGATCCTGTCACTGGAAGTTCAGAAAATTTGATGTCTTCCTCAGAGCTGATTTCCCAGGCACCCAGTGATGTCTTAGATTCCCACGAGAATGAGAAACTGAGTCCTACAAGTAATACCTCATACAGTTTAGAAAAAAACTCCAATCTGGTTCCTCCTGGGATGGAGTATTGTGTTTTACTCTTCTGTTGTTGCATATGTGGTTTTGAGTCCACCAGCAAAGAAAACCTCTTAGATCATATGAAAGAACATGAGGGTGAAATTGTAAACATCATCCTAAACAAGGACCATAATACAACCCTAAACACGAATTAGCTGGACTAATTGCTTGAAGAGGATTTCCTTAAATCACAGCTTCACCGTTGTGCTGTCAAATAACTTACTAGACACAAAAAATAGTTGGTATGGCTTTTGAGGAAATGACAGATGTGACTTGGAAATCAAATTTGTCATGTAATAAAATGTATTCCAGGATAAGCAGTAATGAAATTTAAATTTAAATATTTTGAATGAAGGAAAGTGGGTTGAAAAGGAAGTAAATATATACCTTCTGTATTAACCCTGTTACTGCTTGTTAGTGTTGAGTGTATTATTAAATGCTTATTATACTTTAGAAATGCAAGCAGCAAAGAGTTAAGAAAGGGCTTTTCGGGAACTGTTATAAAACTTACTATGAAAGTGTCACAGTCTTAAGCTAAGCTTAGTTCCTTTCAGGCTCATTTTGCCATGCCGGCCCTAGAACTGACACAGCTTGTGAGAAAAGGGGATGAGCTGCTGGACGCATCCTTCAGTGCGACCAACAGAATCGGCAAGGAAGCAACCAGAGGGCTTCGAAGTGATCTTTCCCTAAATCAACAGAAATTTATTAATATTAAATGTTGGGCATGTTCCATTATTCCCTAAAAATACCTCTAAATCAAATCCAGAATACAAATAGACAGAGAGTAAATAATTGTCTTAAATTTACAGTGAAATTCTTGTGAACAGAGGAAGAAACGTGAATTCCCAGCAGCCTCAAATCAGATCTGAAACTTACAAAAATTCTGAGCACAGCACACTTCTCAGGCTCTTTTAAGGGTTTGAAAGAGCACAGCACATTTTCCCATAGTTACCTGGACCTTCTAGTCCCATCTGCTATGAGATTGAAACACACACACGCACCATCCCCTCCCTGATGAGCATCTCAAAGAGTCTCAAAGCAACAAACTATAGAAATTTGTACTTGATCTATCAGGCTTTGGAACTAGTTTAAGCTCTTAAGATTAAAAAAATCAAATGGATGATAATGGATAAAATTCAGAAGCCTCTTAAAATGAGTACAGCTTTTAAGATTTTCCTTCCTGAAGTTTACTAGTTATCTTTAGCAGAAGAATAACCAAAAGTAACTAAAATGTAATAAAAATCCAGGTTGTTTATAAAAATCTTGATAAGCAAATAGTATTTAGCAAAATTAGGATTTCTGTGTAAAAAATTCCACTGGTAGGGCTAGGACATACGGCAAGCAACTAAAAATGTGTTTGCATTCAGGCTTACCATCAAATACATATTCTGATTAACTACACATTTCAGATTATAATGATTTCAAAGGATGTTTTGTTGTTCAGATCACTTACTTATGCATTGCTTTTCCAGTGTTCTGCCTACAAGTCAAAAGCCCAGACCACTCACTGTACCTTTTTCACAGTGCTACTTCTGAGTAACAGAACATTATGAATATTGACTTCTGACATGTAGAGTTGAGGCTGTGACTCTCATAAATTCAGAGCATCAAAAACAGAATTTTGTGAAGAGAATAGTGTATAGGCATGTTTTAAGAAAGCATTTTGTTCCCCAGTCCAGGTATAAATTAAATGAAGTATTTTAAAGATAGCACTGAGAACTATTTAAGTGGAGCCAGGCATCTTGAAACGTTGATTTTTAAAAGCTTTTTATCCCATTTTGATGGTGATGTTTAAGTAAGTGACTATAACTTTGCAGCTCTTTTGATTTAGGTAGCTTTAATTTATTTGTAAAAGTTAATCCATTTCTGGTATACAGTCTTTAAAAAGATAAAATGAATTTATAAATACAAAAAAAAATTTGAGTCCATTGTATGTGGATTTAAATACATTGAAGCATATCTAATTTTAAATTCAAATAAAATACTTTAAGTAATTCCATTTTTATCACTCCTGTTGTTGTCACTCATATTGTACAGCAGTTTTTCATTGCCAGTAACTATGATTCAGTGTTTCCTTGTAAAAATCTGTTACTCTGAAAAGTAACAACCTGGGCTTCGTTTTCCTTGGCTTCAATTTTATGTAATCACTTGGAAAATACTAATATTCAAAAATTGCAACAGTGACATTTTAAGTTACCTTTCTTAATTTCCTTAAGCCACTTATATTTCTTTTTACTTAAATTTTCCACTTGGAATCATGAATTTAAAATTCCCCCAGCCAGTGGGGAAGAAATAACCCAAAAGTTCAAAGTTTAATCTGATTTTGGCTTTACTGAGATGTTCTCCTGGCCTAAAGGAGGAACCATGGACCAAGGACATTCTGTATTTTCCCTTGATCATTTTGTGGCAAGCCTTAAAGCAGTGTGTCTACCAAGAATAATTAATTTTTCTAAAAGTAATAATGAAGATTAAATATGCCAATTGTAATTATATGAGTTTGGTTATTAAAATAATCAATAGCAATTCCCTTTATAGAAGTGACACTTTATTCTTTTAGACCTTTTGTCACAGGAAGCTCATTCAATTTGGTTTGTGCTCTCAACACTTCAAATTCTAAGACTTGATAGTGAAAACAATTTTAAGAAAGTTACTAAATTCAGCCAAGATGAGAATGGGGAGACGATGCGTTCTGATCACTTTAAATAATATTTACAGCTCTGTCGTTTTCTCCTTTTCTCGAACAATGCAGAATGATTGGTGACACTAGTGTTCCAGCTGTTCCACGCTTCTGTTCCCTTGATCAGTAGACTAAACTGTGGCTAGACAGTGTAGTGACCCTGGCTGAAGCCTGTGCAACAGATACTTCATTCTGTTCACAGTAACCTGTGGCTTTGCAATCATTTCTGTTTTGTTCTCACAAAGCAAATGGTGGGCATCCATGTTTACATTGTACCTTCCCACATGTACCTGGCTTAATAAAGACAAGCAGGCTTCTCTATTGAGACATATATTTTTAGTTTTCATAGATACTTATTTAATCGTTTTTTGTACAGCAAGGTGCTCTAAGTAATATTCTATAAAATATATTTAATAGAAATTTGAGTTTGATATTCATGGACATGGATACATGTATTTTTTTAATAAATAAGTATTGTGTAACACTATGGCATTGCTTCTATAGCCAAAGTAAAAATTTCTGTAACACTGACATGTAAAGACTACCGTTTATTCTGACACTGTATGTTATTAAAATAGGATGATTTGCATTTTGTAAAATTATCCTGCACATCAAGCTGCATGCCTTAAAGCCGAAACCCTAGGATTGTGTTCATAGTAGAACAGTTTTATCTGTTCAGACAGTGAAGCAAGGTTTATAGCACTTCTTTAACTACCTTTGGAAATACTGTACAATGTTAGAATAATTTATTTTGCTTTACAGGAGTTTGTCATGTATTGACTTTAATATTGTATTTTGTAATAAATTTTTTGTTAAAAACACTTGCCTCTAAGTTTTATTAACAGTGGATTATGTCCATTCTTATCTTGGAAATGTTAATTTAATTACTTAGAAAGTTGTATTTAAACAGTTAAAAGCTCTGCGAGGGCTAAACTAAGGCTTGAAATTACCCTCTGGTAGCTTGTTGAACTATTGCCAACTGGTGTTCTACTGTGTTACAGTAAGACATGTGAAGGGGGCACTTAGCTTTTTAAACTGTTTCAATAATTCAGTCCTAGTTTGAAGCCTTTTCCTTGCTAAACAGTTCATTTTATCTTCCAGATCACATGCTTACACTCCTTTCAATTCTGATGTAATCAAAGTGCTAATGACTAGTTCTCCTGATGATGGCATTCTTTACTGCATGTCAAAGGTTTACAACAATGAGCACGCACCTTTGATCATGTTGTAGTCTGTATCAAGTGTCTCTGGACATGAGATTTTTGCATTGGCAAGTGAAGCTGATACTCTCTGACTGTGTCATTGCTTTGGTTGTCAATTTGTGCCCTAGAGTCCTGGCTACCTCAGCTTGAAGTGACTGAAGCCAGATACTTCTTCCCAACCACGGTAATCCCTTGTCCTGTGCTCCCCTGTAGCAACAATCAGAGCTGTTGTCCAGAACCAAATCTCAACACTGTGCCATTAAACTCCAAATAAGTTGTAGAAATACCAGCCTTGAAAGTCTAGAATATATGATCCAATTTGGTCACCACAGCCACATAGGACTACTGAGCACTTTTGAAATACGACTGATAATGCGCTCTATGTAAAATATATAATGATTATAAAGATTTAGCACAAAAAGAAATGTAAAGTATCTCAATAGTTTTTATATTGATTACATGTTGACATATTTTGGATATATTGGGTTAAATAAAAATATTAAAGTTATTTTACCTGTTTTCATTTTTTCAATGTATCTATACTAAAATTTTAAATCACATATGTGGCTTACATTAAATTTCTTTCAGAGAGTACTGGTATAGAAGAGACTGGCAAACTACACAGCTCACTTCAAATCCAGCCTGCCACCTGTTTTTATAAATTTTTATTACACTACAGAAACACTCATTTGTCTCATATATGGTGATTTTCGAAGTGCAAGAGCAATGTTGAATACGTGTGACAAAGACTATGTGATCTACACAGCCCGAATTAATTTGTGACAGTGTGCTGACCACTGAGCTATAGAACAACAGTATAATTTGTGCTTTACCAGAAGAAAAAGGCTTTCCATAAGGAAAGTTTTTGTAGTGTTTTGTAACTATATTATATTCTGTAATTTCCATATTTCTTACAACTCATTCATATTTCATGACTTAACTATTTCATCATCTGATATTCAAAGCCAAACAATTTGTTTCAAATAAAGTACATAATTTTTGTATTAAATAATGCTGTTATGAAAAGTACTGTTTTGCTCCCAGCAGCCTTAGAGTGTCCCCTGTCACCCTGTCTTTGTTACCATTTCCATGCTGTGGGTGTGTGGATGCTACACTAGGTAAGATGATCATGCCACCTACGTGTGTCACCATGGTGCGGCAAGATGAGCACAGTAACTAATCCACTTAGCTGCGGTGACTTGACTCAAATAATCCAGAATATAAAAAAAAAGAATGTTAGATACGCTCTTTATAAAAATAAATAGCATGTGTGATTCTAAAGCCAAGATCATGGGTGGAGAGGGGGTTATAGTTGGCTTTGAAGTAGAGCTGTTGATTAAACTGGCAGAACTAAGAAAGTCACAGTACTCTCCTACAGAGATTTCTTCCACATCAATCAGTAAAGATGTAAAACCAATTTGGCCCTGTAAATTCTTAAGAGATGTTTCTGTTTTTAATTGGTGCTGTACGACAGGCTTGCTTAGGCAATATGCTCTGGTAATATATTTCAGAATCCACATAATAAAATGCTTAAATCGTTTACAGAACCCCACACAGTAGCAATCCCAGTTTGCCTACCATATTGGGGGATTATGGCCCTCTTATTTTTCTGGGGGTATATTAATCTACCTAATCTATTTTATGGTTCAAAACTGTTTGACCCATGAAGTATCTACAAAACTGTGCCAGGCTTTTTTTATTATTTTGCTTTTTCCCAGTAATCACTAAATTGTTTGCCTTACAAAAGATCTTTTAATTTAAAAAGCTTAGAGGCTTATCACTTAGGGCGATAGATAGCTCAGTAGAATAAGCACTTGCCTGGCAAGTACAAGGTCCTGAATTAAATCCCCAGTACTGAAAAAAAAAAAAAAAAAAGTGAATTTAATTTAAAAAGCTTAATTTTACCCATCTAATATAAATTCTGCTTGCCATATGACAATACTGTTACCTGTTAATCTCTTTTTGGTTCATAAGTTAACCATATTCACACCAGTTCTTACCGAATCCAGGTAGTGAAGGTTCCTAAAGTTTGTCAATTAAATATAAGGTGGAGACTTCTGGAGTAATGCTGAGCTACTTCATGAAGCCTTTGTTTTGAAAGGGCTCTATACATAAAGTACATGGAATTTTATTTAAACAAATCCAAAAATCCTTGGTCATGAACGCCAACCCAACTTTTATCTTTCTGATTTTTCAGCTTTGTTACAAGTATTTATAATTGTGTCATTCCACAGGCATCAGTAATAATCCAATAGGATTTATAAAATTAGAGATAAAACCAGACCTGGTGGTGCACTCCTGTAATCTCAGCTGCTTGGGAAGCCGAAGCAGAAGGAACACCACTTTGAAGCCAGCATGGAGAACTTTGTGAGGCCCAGTCTCCAAATTAAAAAAGTTAAAGATGTAAGTCAGTTGCAGAGTGCCCCAAGTTGGATCCCCAATACTTAAAAGTTAGCAGTATGCCCGGGGTGAAACTCAAACCTGGCTAGCAGACATGAGGCGCTGGTTTCAATCCCCAGAACAAAAATGAAATTTATAAGAAAGCATGTTGACTATCAGAAAATTGTCATCTGAAAAGACACAAAATAAAATTTTCAGGTCTTTTATTAGCACCTACTAGCAGTACTTAAAAGCTTATTGTCACTACCATGCATATCCTCAAATAGTTTCTACTTGTCATTTTATTAATTTTAGTATCCACATTTCAGAAATAATGTGGCTGCATTTCACTGAAATAGGCACATCAATCTTGCTCTTTTTGTTTGTATCTACAGTCCTATTTAAATTCAGAATATCCAACTACAAAAGGTGTTAGAAAATTCTATTTCAGGCTTATGAGAAAAAGTACAGCAGAATGTGATTCAAATCTTAAGCTGTCTTTATTTCTGTTACCCTCAACTAAAATTTTGCAAAAAAAGTTAAGACTGAAATAAACAGCTGTAGGAAAGGAGCGGCTGCAAGCTCCCCTCCCTTCCTAAGCCTCTCTGTGCAGGAAGCGCGAACAGTTGGCGAGGCACTGCCACCTCCCTGTAGCGATGACACTGGGGCCTCTGAGAGGGCCGCTGTACAGGGCAAAACCTGCATCTGCACCCGCCTGGAGCAGCCATGCGTTCAATCCACGAATGCCGTGATCGAGGTTCCGAGATACTATCTGACAGTTTTTAAGAATTTTTTTTGTAATAGCAGAGGGAGGAAGCATGGGTCTGCTAGTGGAGAAGCAGCCACCATGTTTTATATGAGTCAAGGAAAGATAAGCCTGGCATCCAGAGCCCTGGCCAGACTGACCCACGGTGTGTCCATACCTTCTGGAAAAAGTAGTTTTAGAGAAGGTGGAAATGGCCTGCCCTGGACTGTGGGAGGCTCTCACACACAAGTCACTCTTCCGACCACCTCACCAGCATGTTCCACTGGCTGCACTCTGGTGCAGAGCAATCCTGATTTCTGAAACGGGCCCACAGGCCTGTCCAGATGCCAGCCTGTTCCTGTCGTGTGCTGCCCTGTGGCTCCGGGTGCAGTTTTCTGGTTTTACCAAATGGTATTGTGATTAGATAGGAAAATGGCAAGAGTAACAAAAATAAAACCAATTTAGTACATGTATTAAACCAGAATCCACTGATGTTATCGGTAAGATTAAATGAAATGAAGCTTGGCGCTGTATTTCCAGGTATGTTATACTTTATAAAACAAAAAAGAATACATAGGGAGGTTAGATGCAAATGGAATGGTCTTTAAGTAAAACAAGTCAAAATGAAAAAAAAAAAAAATCTCCTGTGAGTAGAAGTGTTAGAATTAATGTGTACCTGGATCCATGGCACATATTAGATGCGCTAAGCGGTTTTTTCTTCTTTATGTATTTGGTACAGGGTCTCACTACACAGCTTGGACCCATAGTGATCCTCCTGTTTTCAGCCTCCCTTGCGCTGGGATTACAGGCCTGTTCCACCACACCCCTGGATTCAGTAAGCCCACTCCATGGGGGGAGCCAGCATGACAAGCGAGACCAGGGATCAAACCCTGGTCCCTGAGCTTGCCAAATCAGGCACTTGGTCCACTGAGCTATCTCTCTGGTCCCTAAGTGTTTTTTAAATTCAAGAAAATACCAAGGTAGATATAGTGATGCACACATGTAATCCCAGCACTCTGGGAAGCTGAGGCAGGAGGATCAAAAGTTCAAGCCCAGCCTGGGCAACCTTATGATTAGCCAAATCCTTTTTCAAGCAAAGGACTGGAGATGAATTCAGTCCCCAGTATTACAAAGTAAGAGGGGAGAAGAAAGTAAATCTTGCCAACACAGTAATTTGTTTTTACAAAGCATCTTTCAGCTGATAACTCAGATACCTAAACATGTACTCAATGAGTTCTAAATGTCCCTGGGGGAGCTCTTTGGTGAAACCTGTGCAGTAAAATTCAGTTTCCAGAACTGGAAAGTCTAGGACTGGAGAATGTAGCTCAGTGGGGCAGAAACAATTATGAGGCCCTGGGTTCAATCTGAGCACTGCAGAAAAGAGGGGCAGAGCAGGGAGGGGAGTGAGAGATGGTATCCCTGAAACGGAGCGGGGGGGGGACTTATAACCAGGGAATCAGCCTTTAGTACTGAATCAGATATAATCGAACATCTTTTTTATTGATTTTTACCACTGTGAACCATAAATTCTGCTTCAATTCTCAGGCCTAAACCATTCCCCACAGTAGCTTCTATATTACCTAATTATGTGGCAATCACTGCATTAAAGTACTAAATCTATCCGGTACAGTCTCCACATAGCTTCTGGGCTACTGTAAGTCCTAGCAGCTCAACCAAACCTAGGAATTCTGATGCATAAGGGGTCCTCCAGGCTAGCCCATTTACTACCCATGGGTGGACTCGGGCAGATTTAAGAGGAGCAACAGTCCCCACTAGAGTAGTCATGATTTAAGGCATGATAAAAATGTTTGAATCTGAGTCTTAAAAACACAACCATTTCTGGCTAAAAGTTCTACTTCTTCCTACAGGAAAAAAAAAAAAAAAAAAAATCTCCCAAGCCTGACAGTACACCTTGAAATCTGTTACCAGGGCAAATCTGCCTCTTGGATTTTCAGACACCTGGGTATACACCTGTTGTGCAGGGGATGACATTAGAATAGTCCAAGGAAAAAACGGGGAACTAGCCAAGGCCGCTGATTCTTGGACTGAAACAGCTAACATTTAGGAATCTTCAAGTCTGGCAAAAAGCTCGTGTGATAAAGCATCTTCATCTGCTTTTAGCTGAATAGCTTGACTATTCGTATCCTCTTTCAAATATATACAATTACAACAGTTATTCTAGCCATGAAAATGAAAGAAGTGTAGGTGGTAACCATGGTAATGAAAAAGTACAGGCAAGTAGAGGTAAGAAGAATAGTAGGTG